AGTTTTTAACTTAGCAAACACTAGAACAATACACTCTTTTAACTGAAGCAATAATGGTTTAGAATTTTTGTTTTCTAACAAACTAGCAGTTTCACAAATTTTTTCTAGCAAATTTAGAGTGGGTGAATGCACTTAAATCGCGATTTGTTTGTATCAAATCACACAAAGTAACTTTTTTGCCTCCACTTAATATACAAGGTGGTCCAGAATTATGTATATTAATTTCTAGAGTACATAGTACGTCCAAAAATAAGGGTAGTTCTTTATGTACACTTTTTTATAAAACTGACTAATAAGGGAGATACTGTCACCAGATACGGACGCGTCACTTGAACCAGTGCGCATCCGGATCTGCTCATTTCGCACCTCTACGCCTTCTGATTGGCTCCGGACGTTATCCTATTTTCTGATTGGTGAGTTGCCGGTCACGCCCTTTTTGCACACCTCACCAAAGGACGAAAATAGGATAAAAGAACGTGCACAATCTCCAGAAGGCCTATTCGGTTCTGAGTCTGAACTAGCTAAGACCTCTGGTTGGGGAATACCCATTTATGTTAAATCACTAGTTCTTTTACTCGAAACCTTGGTTGAGAATTAGACTTCTCAACCGCTCCTTGTTCCAGCTGAGTATTATCTCAATATTCTCTTAGAATATTGTTTTCTTGGTATCTTATTTATATATTGTTTCTTTCAGGCACCTCGGAGGTCCTCCACGTGGCGAGTCGCGTCAGTTCGTATTTCTGCTTTGCCCTAGTGGCATAGCTACAACACACACTCTCTAAAGCTTGACCAGTGAGTTGTCAACCTGTTTCATACGTTTACCAAGACAAGAAATACAAACTTAGTACAACGTACTATAAGCAGGCAACTCGGAACAAGCAAGAAGTGTGTTTTCCAGCCATAACTACGGTCACACACGTCATCTAGAGAAACCTCTAGGCACGTCTTGCAGAAGGGAAGAAAGTGACGAACTGACGCCGATGAGCAAAACTCTTTAAAAAAATAAATAAAACACTCCGAGTTTTCTTTATTCTTTTCCTGTGTTTCCTTTGTCTTCTGACTATTGTTTCAGCCATATGGAATCACAGCGCATACTCCGATCGTCTGCCTTAGCGGACAGAGCGACTGATGGCGATCCACAGCCTTCCGTGGAACCGACTCAGCGACAATACAACCCTTTAAAGGGGTGAATTGAAATTCTTATTTTTTCAAATATCTTCCAAACGGTTTTGAATACGGAGTTCATATTTTGGGAGTGATTATAAGACATTAGGATAATTAATTTCATGTTACCACCTACTACATCCTATATTAATACAGGGTAGTTTTGGAGGGTAAGTGGGGGTTATTGCGTCACATATTTTTTAATTTTTACATATTTTAAAAAAATATTTTAAAAATTGTTTCCTTAGACTTTTCTACGCAAAAAAGGTGCTCTTGTAATATTTCGATAGATATCACCGTTTTCGATTTATCTAAACTCGAAGGTATACATGTATTTTATTGTAATCGTTACATTTCTTAATATTCGTCAAGTATGCTTTGGAATTGACACTTGTGTAAGCAATAATATTACAAATTAATGGAAAACTTAATTACTACGTAACATTTAATTAATTGCGAAAATAATATTTTACAACAACTGTTCAAAATGTCCTCCATTTTGTTGAATACATAATTTAATTCTTTTATTTAGCGAACGCATTAATCCATTTAATGTTACTGGATCGTTTTGTAAATCGGTAAATACTTGTTCAATTTTGTCTCTTAACTCATTTACTGTATTAATTGGAGTGTTATACACTTTTGATTTCAAATAACTCCATGCTGTAAAGTCCATTGGATTAAGATCACAACTACGAGCAGGCCAATGAATCGGTGCATCCGCACCCCGGCCTATCCACCTATCAGGGAAATGTTTATGTAACCACCTTCTACAAATTCTTGTGTAATGTGGTGTAGCACCATCATGTATGAAAAACATGTTTCTTCGTATTTGTAATGGAATATCTTCCAAAATATAATGTAAAATATTGTCTAGAAAATTGTAATACATTATGTTACCATTTAAATTTCCGGGAAATATGTGGTATCCTATGAAACTATTTCCTAAAGTAGCTGCCCAAACGTTTATCTTGAACGTGTGTTGGAAGTGAGTTTCCATTGTAGCCCTTGGATTTTCTTCAGCCCAGAAGTGCATATTTCTAGAATTGAACATACCTTGTCTTGTAAATGTGGCCTCGTCTGTAAATAGAATGTTGCTTAAAAAATTTGGTGCAGTTTGAACTTTATTTTGCAATACTTCACAAAAATCAACTCTAAGTGGCATATCGTCAGGTAACAATTCCTGCACCTGTCGATAGTGGTAAGGATGTAATTGCTCTTCATGCAGAACTCTTAAAACACTTTGATGGGAAATATTTATTCTTAATCCTAACCTGCGTATACTTATTGTGGGGTCATTTATTACAGCATCCAATATTTGCTGTTCAACGCGAACATTTCTTGCTTCTCTACGACGACCAGCATCTGTATTCCTTCTTTGAAGACAACCGGTTTCTCTCAGTCGTCGTTCAGTACTAACAAAAGTCCTGGCATTGGGAATATTTCTGTTCGGATACTTTTCTCTGTCACGTCTTACAGCGGCAGCAGCATTTCCCGAACATTCCCCTAATACTAAAAGTATGTCTGTCATCTCAGAATTTAAATAGTGTGTCATATTGCGGGCAAACAAATTTAAAAATATAGCAAAAGAGACCTGTTAAACAAATTTCACTGTCGAGTACAATAAAAGTGTAGATAAAGTAATTTAATTGTTATTAAACGTCACTGACAATTCATAGACTACTTGAGATTAAAGTGTTGTTGCTCACAACACAAGTGTCAATTCCAAAGCATACTTGATGAATATTAAGAAATGTAACGATTAGAATTAAATACATGTATACCTTCGAGTTTAAATAAATCGAAAACGGTGATATCTATCGAAATATTACAAGAGCACCTTTTTTGCATAGAAAAGTCTAAGGAAACAATTTTTAAAATATTTTTTTAAAATATGTAAAAATTAAAAAACATGTGACGCAATAACCCCCACTTACCCTCCAAAACTACCCTGTATTAAGATGTGGTAGGTGCTAACATGAAATTAATTATCATAATGTTTTATAATCACTTCCAAAATATGAACTCCGTATTCAAAACCGTTTGGAAGATATTTAAAAAAATAAGAATTTCAATTCACCCCTTTAAAGGGTTGTATCTCCCTTATTATTCAGTTTTATAAAAAAGTATACATAAAGAAGTATCCTTATTTTTGGACGTACTATGAGCTCTAGAAATTAATGTACATAATTCTGGACCACCTTGTAGATGGAGTCACTTGGATAGCCTTCTCTTCTGTGCTGATTTTCAGTAAGTGATCCCGCTTTAACTCTGGACTATTTCGGATGGCTTCTAAAACTGCACTAATCACTGTACCTGTGTTAATTTGGATGTCATCTTCCGTAACTGCTGACATTGTTGGCTCTGAGTCAATCATTATGTGTTTTGAAATAGATACTGTACTAGATAGATGCCTTTGTTTTACTCCTTTTGATCTTTCTTCTCGAGATGATCTTTGTGCAGAGGACAACACTTTGTCCAAAGATCGAATAGGTAGATTCTCAGATGGAATGGAACCTCTTTTTAAATATCATTAACCAGTCCACACATCTAAAAAATAAAACGATATTTCAATTATTAAGAAAGAACCAGGCTGAGACAATATTACCTAAATAAATTTCTTATCAAATATGATTTACCTACCTGGAAAAAAGTAATCCGATTTCTTAAAGTGTCGGCTGCATACATTCATAAATTTTGTTACAGGTTTTGCAATACGAAGAGCTACTTGCCACTTTTTTCGTAATTTCTCGTCCTTTGGAAAGTAATGGAGATGTATATCTCTCGTACATCGAGCAGAACATTGTGGCACTGAACAATATCTATTACTTTTTTTCTTATCGCTCATTATTTTTAAAATTTGACGAAACTTATACCAGTTTTAAACTATTAATTTATGCAAACTTTTGACATTTATCCCTATTTTATTAGTTACCTATTTTGGCAGCAGTTGGCAGCACGCTCGTTTGAGAACGCAAATATCCGGACCTTTAATTGATCGTTGTATTGATTCATTTTTGGCGCCTCTCTTTTGTCTCGTGCAGTTTTTTATGGAAGATTCTTCGTAGTGATCCAAAACAAAATCGATCCTTTTAGCGCTGTAGGGGTTCTTGAATACTATTGACTTTACAATTCTTGCATAGTCGTCAAATGTTTTGGCATTGGATGGTTTGCCAATGGCTTGAATCAAACCCATACCATCAAAAATGTGACACGTTTTGTGATTTTGTAACGGTAATGACAGATATTTGGACGTAACTGTAAACTGTTCTATTATAGAACCTAGGGCAGATTTATTTGATGGTACCGATAAAACTCCTGAAGGTGCAAGTGGCATTGGATAAGCTGTCAATTCATGTTTGAAAATATCCTCATAATTTATGTCTCTTCCAATTGCCTTGGCTGCTAGTATTTTTTGCAAAAACTCTTGCTCAGCTTGAACGGTTTTCTTCTTTTCAGCGACAGTTTTATAGGTACCTGCACGACGAAGTGTTCGAAGATTATTCTTCTTAATAGGTTTGAAAAAATTGGGAGTTCCAACAGTATCAAGAAATTTTGCTAAGCTCTCTTCTCCAATTTTTTGTATATTTAATAAGGATGTTTAAACATTTGGCGATGCAATCTCATTAGTTGAAATTACGAGAAGACGATCTTCGCTTCTGGATAAAACATTAAATCATAAAAACTCATCATGGAGTTTTTGTACAGAATCTTCATCAATTTTCATTTGTTTCTTTCCACCTTCAACGTTTTGACTTGATGAGTCGTTGCTTAGGTCTAATGATGCACGAAATTCATCTACCATCATGCCAATCATGTTGTAGCTCAAAAACCATTCATCTAATTTTGTGCTGTTTTTGGTCAATCCCACGATCCCTCCTGCATTTTTTTGAGATTTTATTTATATGTTCTAATGCTTGATCTACAGATAGTTGGTTAAAGTTTCCGTTCAAACGTTTTACAACAAAATTTTCATTCATACATTCTTCATGAACTTCTGGAGCTTCCCCATGAAGTTTGTACATGTCCATTAAATATATTGTTCCCCAACGAGAATAGTTCACATGGTCAAATGCGAAGAAGTAAGGCAGCATTTTTCGAAAACTAGACAAATGTATTTCCCAGTTTCCGCTTCTTTCAGAAAACTGAAATTCTAATAGAATATCTACCATTTCCAAGTATGCATTCCAGTATTTGCCCGTGGCAGTTTGAGCTGCAATGAATTCTGGAAACTCTGTCAAAAGTTCACGAGTTAAAGTTAAGATTTTATCGGAGAGTTGCATAACGTCTTCTTTTCTCCTGAAAGTATCAATGATTTCCGATGTACAAAAGATGAATTAAGTTAATATAATGTGCAGAAGGACTGCCACACTCTAAAAGCCACTTCTTATAAAGATTTATTAATAATCTTGACAGAGCTTCGTACGTCAACTTATGGGCTTGTATAGCTTTATTGTATTTTTTGCCAGATAAAATACCATCAATTGTGGACTGAGCATAGAGACCACTGTCCAACCATACATCAGCAAGTCCAGAATCTGTCATAAACTGACCAATTATTTTGAGGAAGTTCATAACAATGTGGAATCCACCTAGACGAATGACTACGTTTTTTGTGTCTTCTGACTGGGACCATTGGAGCTCTTTAGCTTTATAATAGATCGCTTGATCAAACGTCAGTACGGTGTATCTGTTATTTAGCTCCTTAGCAATTTCATTGCACTTTATGATAACAGTCCAAACGGTATCATATTCTGACGAGACATGGGGTAGTACAGGTAAGTAGCCATAGGTCGTTACATGTGATTTATCCTCCACAGTCCGTTTATGAAATCCTGACCACTGTGGGATAACGGTTTATCTAACATAGTTCCTCATTCTGCAAATGCACCATGCCATGTTACGATATCTTATGCTATTATTAAGGTCAGTCGGTGGTTAGTCGTTGTATTGGAGAAATTAGTAGGATATTATCGACACATCTTAGTAGAAGATATATTAGATTCCCCACAACCATAGTGGCAAAGATGTCAATAGCTCGTGGGTAAATACAGTTAAAGTTATTCAAATATCAACTTTATTATTGTTTAATGTACATTTTAGTTTTATGGAAAAGTTTAATTTCCCAGGTATAGTGTGTTGTATAGATGGTACTCATATAGCAATCCTTTCCCCACCTATTGATCATCCACAAAATCCAGGTTTTGTATACCTAAACAGGAAAGGGTTTCATAGTATCAATTGCCAGATGTATGTAAGTTGTTAACACTAATATTTGAAGTAAATTTTCTTTGTTTAGATATGTGATTCGATTTAAAAATACTTATTGTAATGCTAGATATCCAGATCAATGCATTATTCAGCAATATGGAATATGTTAAATGCAAGCATTCATATGGAAGAAATGTATAAAATAATGAACGAGGATTTTGGTTGTTGGGTATATCCAAAAAAATATTATCAGCATAAGCGCAAATTACTTTATTGTTATGACAATTGTAGGTGATTCTGGGCATCCGTTGCAACCATCGCTATTGACACCAGTAGAAGGGGCACAAGAAGGTACCCCAGGAGGTCGATATACATCTGCACGTATACATGTCCGAAACACAATTGAACTATGTCACGGTGTTTTGAAAATGCGCTTCCGTTGCCTTTTAAAGCACTGTTTTCTACATTATTGTTCCTGTTACAGCGGCAACCATTATAAATTCCTGTTGTGTTTTACACAATATCCTTATTGCCCATAATGTAGAAGTAGAAGACAATTATGAAGATTTCAAGAGTTGAACAAAATCCTGTTGAAAATAATGATGGTAAATTTTTAACTTTGAATATTTACATAGTTTGCTCATAGAAACATAGAAACTCAATTTGTTTCAGAACCCCCAAATGTAAATTTGCTAGGTATAGGTCGAAGAATAAGAAGCCAATTGATAAGAAATTATTTTAATTAAATATATTTGTATGAACATATAGAACAGTAATAAATAAAAAGCACAAAAACTATCATATGTGGTTTTATTTAAATGTGTCTCTTTTTTTTTAAGTTTTAGCTCCCTCTCTCTTAAATCCAATTCTCTCTCTCTCTCTTAGTTCTAATTTTTTGGTTTTATTTTTTGCTTCCAACCATATTACTTTCAACTCTAGCTCCTTCAAGTCCAATTCTCTTAGCCGCAACTGCTCGTATTCCGAAACTGACTCTTTCATGGCCATGAAACGTTCTAAAATTGCAGCAGTTTCTTTTTGGTCTACAGCATATGCCTCTGCTGCCTTTTGGAGATTACTCCTTTTATCTGAAAACAAAAATAGTACAAACTTATAGAAAACAAAACATTATTCTCAAATTAATTAACAATTTAAACATATTTGTATGTACCTTTTGTTGGGGCTTTTCTCTTAGGTGCTACATAAATGGATTCTGCTGGATGTTTTTATGTGCTAGGTAATATTTCTGTCTCAACTAGACACTCTTCTAGTTCATATAAACTTTCCATTTGTTCTACAATTAGTATGTCATCTAATTGATTGTTTGTTGGTACAGGATCTATACTTTCATGATTAAATCCTACTTCTTGTACATCAGCACCTTTCACTGCTATCAAAGATAATAGCCCCATTAATTTGTCTTCGATTGGGGTTAGTATTTTTCCATCTGCTTCTCCACTACCTGTCCGTTGTTAAGATTTTATGCACTCCCTTGCTTTTTTTTGTATGACTCTTCCAGTCGATGAAGGTCTGCAAAATAATTGAAATATCTAACTAAATTACTAATAATTATATATTATCAAGGTTAATGAAAATCATTAAACATTTTAAGAATTGCTGCTCTAATTAATTTACTATACCAAAATCTAATTAATTTACAAAAACTCTTCTACTTAGTCTTATAAAGAAAACTTACTTTCTTCCACTGCATTTTTGATTTTTGCGGACCTGAACCCATGGCATTCAGTGAGAGAGTTAACTCGTCCCACAATTTATCAATAATATCATTATTTGCTTCTGACGCTTTGGTTTTTCCGTTCAATAATATTTTATGATCAGACATAAAGTTTACTAAGTAATTTAATTGCTCAGCAGATGCCTTTTTCGTTGGTGTTCCGCTTGCCATTTTTTATTCTTTTGTAACGATAATATAATCTTCTTTTTTGATGAATTTTTCGCGCGCGCTAGCCTTTCCAGTAACATAACGTCACAGAACACTTATTTCGCTTTGCAGAGCGGGGTTGCCACCAACTTCTGGGCGCGTCAAATCGAACTTGGCAATATTCATAATAATGAATAATAACATTTAGGACCATTTCTATTCGACTTGACAATTTCGATTCGATTTTACTCATTTCTATAATCGAAATGAGTTATGGAATAGGTCCGATTAGATCTGATTCTATAACTTTTTTCATTTCTAAAATAGAAATCGTAAATAGAAATTGATTTCGACAGCGTTTATTCTGTCGAAATGACTTTTCGATATCAAAATTTGTTTTGTTAAAACTTCAAGTTTTCTTTTTATGTTTGTATTAAAATTGTATTTCTAAGTTTTATCATGTATTTTCAATTTAATTTCGGTTTCAATCTTGCAATTGAAATTGAAGAAGAGTTACAAAGGTAAATAAAACATTTTGTGATAAAAAAATGTAATAATTAACTTTTTGTATCGGAAATATTTTGTAAGATACCTGTGTATTTGATTATCATTAAAAATTTTTAAGGTAAGATGGGGCAAGTGCGAACGAAAAAATTCATAGTTAATATTCATTTTACTACAAAAATTGCCTCTTTCAAATTAAGATTTTTTTAAACTTCTGTCGTATAATTGTGATTATTAACCGACCAATTAAAACTATTTAGATAACAAAAATACATTACCTACCAAATTTGCCTATACATTTTTTTTTTCGCAAGTAATGTTACGCACTTGCCCCACTGATCCGGGGTAAGAGCAGAATGTGCCATTATTTTTGCTAATAATAATAAGTGTTCCATACGGGGCTAGTGCAGAAATCCTACATATCTGTAATTTTTATTCTTTATGCTTAACTTTAATAAAATATTAAGAAAAAAATGCTACGAAATATTTTTTAGGAGAGAGTCAAAACAATTTCAGATATTTTGACTGAAAAATATTTATTTAAAATAAAAACATAAACTAAACGTACCAGAATGAATAAATCCTGTTAACAGTAACAAAAAATAATAATAATTGGAAAAAATACTTATGCTATGCTTCAAAGGTGCTGTCTCAAAATATACTTTTCGTAATCAGCAGTTATTGATATTTTTGGAACAGGTAGTTTTGTTTCTATGTCCGATAGTAGAATAGTGCAGACATCGTTGGGTTTTAAAATAAAATGGCACTTATTTGTGAGCCTTTTCAAGCCTGTTACTTCGGCTTCATCACCATTGATCAGTTGTTTCACCAAACAAACATATTTGAACATTTTCTTTTTTCCAGGAAAATTTACTAATACAAAATCCCTAATTTGTATTTTGGTAAATGTAAGTTTGTCAGCAGGGTTTTTTTTCATCAAACTCTTCCAAATCACTTTTGCTTAGCTCGTCAAATTCAACAATTCTGTTTTCGCTTGAATCACTGTACCAAGAACTATTATCATTTTCGGAACTGCTTTCAGCAATTTTTTTTGTAAATCTTTTTAATTTTTCTTTCTGGTTTATATTTTTTTGTTGTATTTGAACTTAAAATTTTTTCAACATCGGCTCTTGTTATCACCTCTGCACCCAAGCACACGCGTTTTCTTTTCTTCGAATTAGAATTGTTTTCACGTTTGGTTGACCTCAATAACAACTCTTCGAATGAAACATCCAGAATCTTCTCAGTTACTTGAAATGTTTGTATATCTGTCGAGCTGGAAGTTGACTGTGCTTCGACTGTGATTGGATTTTCATTATTTTTTGCTGATGTACTAGGCAAAGTTAAGTCAGGACCATCAAACCTAGCTACGTTACGGATTTTTTGCCAACGTTGGAGAGCCACTGGGTCAAATAAATCTTGCTGAATAATATTCCTATTCAGCGGAACTATTCCTGCTTTAATATATCCTACTCACTAATATTTCGGGCCTGGTTTCCTGTCATATTTCTCCTATCATCTTGGAAAACATACTTAACAAGTTTAGCATCCCAACGGGTCTTCAGTGATTTAAAGACACACAAATCTAAGAGCTGGAGTACATGACTGGTGTGAGGAGGGAGCTTAAGTATCGTAATATGGTTTTCAACAGCTATATTTATGACATCTGCTCCAAGATGACTCGCGTGTCCGTCGTAAATTACTAATACCGGTCGTTCTGAACCAATAAACTTTAAAAAACTGTTTTCAAAATAGTTTCTAAATACAGTTGTCTCCATCCACCCTTTAGGAGTGGCAGCGTAGGTAGTATCTAAAAACTCCGTGCCACGCGGAGCAGTCCACTGGTCCCAAACATGTTTACCTTTGAAGACAATAAGCGGAGGTGCTTTTTTGTCACTTGCGCTGCAGCACATAAGAACAGTTGTATTTTGTTTGCCAGACCCACTAATAGTTCTTGTGGATGGAGCTCCCTTTTGTCCGACAATTTTTGTTTTTGACGGATCTGTGCAAAAACTGCTTTCATCCAAGTTCCAAATTTCTTGTAAACCAAGTTCTTCTATAACGTTTTCAAATAAATCAAAATAGTTGTAGATCAGGAATCGGTCAAGGTTTTTTTTTCTAGTAAATTCAACACTCTGGGGTTTTTTAATAGAGAGGTTATGTCTACGCTTGAAATTAAGAAACCAATCTTCTCCTGGTTTACCATCTTTAAACTGTGTCTTAATGTTATTCTCTTTGACGAAGTCAGCTACAACCTGCAACACTTCTTTTCTAGAAAGGCCAAAACCCCATTTTTCCATAGTACGAAGGCCATTTGCTAGTTTTTCTTCTTCCTGTTGAGGAATGTCCTGAGTTCTTCCATAACTGGAACTTTTTTGTCCTCTCCTACCTTTAAGGTGATCATGGAGAGTACTTTTTGGAATTGTGTACACTTTAGTAGCTCGGTATAAAGTCATTTGCCCAGATTTAATTGCCGACAGTGCAATTTTGAAACCCTCTTTCGTATATCCTTTGCCCCTGCTACTTCTGCGAATGTAATTTCTCACCATGGTGGAACTAAAAGCATAAAGAAAAACTGTGTGAGATTTGGGGCAAGTGCGTAATATGTGCCGCTCTTACCCCACAATTTTATCCGCACTAGCCCCGACTTTAAAAATACGCGGGGCAAGAGCGGTACAACAATAAAAACTGTCAAAAAGTAAATATTTAAAAAATATATTATGTTTATCATAAACTATTGTGCCTAACATACTTACCTACCAAAAATAATATAAAGATGTTCACAGATTCGGTAGATATAAAATGGATTAATTTTTATCAGTGACCTTGCTCGAGAAGTTGCAAAACACAAGTGACACTACCGTACCTATAACATCAGTGAAACGTAATAAAGCAGCTCGCTGTTTCAAATTTTCGCTTTCATATTTCAAAAGTGATAGGTTTTTATGATAATGTTCTGCACTTGCAGAACAAAGAAAAAAGTGTTGGACAAGACTTTTTATTGGGTATGAGTCAGCCAATAGTTAGTCGGTGTATAAAGAGTGTTAGTGAAATGCTTTCAATTCAAATAAGTGGAAGGTGCATTCAATTCCTCAGTACAATAGAAGAAAAATACATAATAACTCAAGGGTAATTATATTTATTTGAATCTGTTAATCTGACTAATCAGAAATTGTTAAAAATGTGGTTTAAATTTTAGCTTTATGGCCAAATTTAACTTCCCAGGAGTAATACCTGTCATAGCTGCCCATATATTTAATGCATGTTACGTATTACATAACATTCTTTGTCAAACAATATAGAGCCAGACGAACATCTATTTGTAAATGACCTGCAGTGGGACTCTGTGCCATGTAGTATTCTACATATAGAGATTCTACAACGTCGGCACTTCGTACATCCACATTGTCGCATGAATGCTATTATTTTGGTCGTTTCGTTTCTATCTCCAGAGACCTATCGAATTCTATATAGCGGAAGCGTATTATATTCCAAAAGCAAGTTGACAGTAAATTTATTTATTTTTATTTTGGAGATTAAGGTTATGTCTACATTCTAACTGTTGTTGGTTTTTACGTAAGAGCTTATTTTATTTTGCTGAGATCGTGGAAATAGTGTAAGCATGTTACCTATTCATATAATAAACATACTAGCAGCGGAAAATGAGGAGCGGTTAGAGCAAATTCGTCTCAAAGCGTTAACAAGGCGCCAAATGCGAGATGAAAGCAATCCTTTCGCTATAGAAGATATTCGATTTAAAGAACTCTTTAGGTTAAATAAGGATATGGCACAATATGTTTATAATCAAATTACACCCAATATGGTACACACAAATAATTCAGTAGCCATTCCTCCTCTGCTGAAATTCTTTGGATCCTTAAGGTTTTATGCCACTGGAGCATATCAAAGAGTTATTGGCCGTGGATTTGACATATCCATGTCTCAACAAAGCATGTCCAGAGCAGTGGAAGAAGTTACATCTACTATTATCAATATATTGGAAAATGAATGGATATGTTTTCCAACAACATTACAATCGAAAAATGAAATAAAACTAGGATTTATGGAAGCATTTAATTTCCCTGGAGTGATTGGAGCTGTACATTGCACGCATGTGGAAATACTACGACCAGTAGTTGAGGAACATAATTATGTCAATAGAAAAGGAAACTACTCTAAAAACATTCAATTGGTAGGTTTTTAATGGTTTTATTATATATATACCAAGTTACTTTCCTTTCACTTTTTATTATGTAAATTTATTACTTGTTTCAGGTGCGTGACCTAGATTGAAAATTTTAAACATAAATTGCAGATATGTAGGTGCTACCCACGATTCTTTATCTGGAGAAACTCAAGAATGAGAGCAGAATTGTAAATTAATTACCAAAGGGGTATGTTAGATGTTTTACAACAAACTGTACGATAGAAAATACTTTAAATTACATATGTTATTTGCTAGGTGAAAGAAACAGCTGGTTACTAGCTGATTCTGGATATCCACAAGAGCCATGGTTAATGACTACTGTTGAAAATGCATTGCCAGATACTCCAGAGTATAGATATACTCAAGCACATATAAAAGCACGTAATTGTATTGAGAGATGTAACGGAGTGCTTAAAGGAAGATTTCTATGTCTTTCACAAATATTGAGGTATTCTCCAGAAAAAGTTGGCAATATTGCCAATGCATGTGCTATTTTACACAACATATGCATAAATGGTGGATTAGATTTTGATTTGCCATTACATGATGAAAACCCTAATATTCCTATTCCTAACAACTACTTGCTAAGAGCAGTTGGACATAACGCTAGACAAAACGTTATCAACACCTATTTTAGATAGGATTATCATATAGGATAGGAAGAAATCATCACGTTGTTAATAACATCACATTTTATTTATAACATTATAACAAGTACAAATTTAATAAAGGATAGATCCACTAACAACTATTATTTAATACTTGACCCACTATTTTTTTAAATCTCGGCCATTATTTTCAATGATGTGGCAATGCTCTCCAGAGATCTTGCCATATTATCAGTATTATTGCTAACATTTTGCAAAAGCTCTACTGATTGTCTATTAAGATCCAATAGTTCATTTGATAATGGAACTGTCATTGGCCTGCGTCGAAATGTTTTTTTATTACTAGTTCCCGTATTATTCTGTTAGTCTAATTTTCTTTTAACGCTTTTATTACCTCCTCCATCTCTTTCCGAATTGGTACGAGAAGTGCTGGGCTGGTTGGTTGGAGTTTCATCTACCTGGTTCTATAAAAAAAAGTATATTTAAATCTAAAACACAAATGAGAATGATCGCTCTTTATTGGTACAAGTAGAATAACAATGAATAGTATGATTTTACAAATATGAAAATACTCGAATTCTTGTACAGAAAAAAAAATTGGATTTATAAATGATGTTGAAAAAGTTTAGCAGCAAGTACACTTTATTTTATTAAAGTTTTATAACGATTCTACAAATCATATTCCTATATCCTAATTGAATCTCAAATGAAAATTTATGAAACCAGACCAACCAAGAAAATGCCATAAAGCAAATAAGGCGAAAAAAATAGACCCCCAGATGATATTGCTTCTATAACACTGTAAAAGTTTATACAGCAGCATTTAGCAACAGTTCAATGCAAAATATTATTACACTAAATACTCAACCTGTCTAAATCTTCTTGAATTAAAGTTATATTAACATTTGAATCTATGGATTTAAATAATTTCAAATCATCTGCAAATATCAGGAAATCACAATGTCTAAAACATTCTGATATATCTTTCGCAAACATTGGTCATAAATAGTTTTGGTAACTTATGAAGAAAACAAATATAATATAGAGGTTTTGTTAGTTGTTTAAATTATTAATACTTCAATAGAAACCAGAAACAAAAAACCCAATTCACATAAATACTCTTAAAATGACATAATAACAATAAGGAATGGAATGTCAGTAATACAATAGATTTATTAGTTATATGATATATGAAATTCACATAGATACTCTTACAATGACATAATAACAATAAAGAATCCAATGTCTGTAATACAATAGATTTATTAGTTATAGGATATATGCAATTCATATAAATACTCTAACAATGACATAATAACAATAACTAAGCCAATATCTGTCATATAATAAATTATTAGTTATATGATATATGAAACCCATCAGCTAAGATGGGGCAGGCAATAACAAGTGTTCTATAATAAGAACTGGTTTAATTGAAATAAGGGAATTTGAATCAGCATAAAAATGCAGAATATTTTTAATATATTATATATTTTAGAGTGGAATGATACTAAATACAGTTTGATTTGTGTAAACTGTTATATTATGATGAATTAGCATACACCAATTTTTTATATATAATACTGAACATCTGAAAATTTGTTTAATGAAAATGACTAAGGATTACAAAAAAAATGATTCAAATGTGGCATGTTTATTTCTCATCAAAAACAAACATGCACAAAAATTACTATTTTTGAAATTCTAACATTATTCCAAAAATAAATGTACCTACCGCGATATGGTAATCATGTTCCACCATTATACTATTATTTGTCATTTCAACATGTTGCACTTTAACCTACCAAATTAAATTATTATTAGATTTTTACATATTTTCCACAATATGGTTAGTTTATTACTATAAATTATAAAATTTATCTACCTCTCCAAAACTAATTCGAATACAGACTCATTACCAATGACAGCAGTGACCCACATAATACTTAAAAGTCTATTCTCTAATGTGGATAAAAGAGGTTGCTGAGGTGAACCAGCACCAGTCTTTCGTTGTGCCCTTCTTAAGGAAGCTGCTTTCGCTTTCGTTTTGCACTTCCAATCTGTTAGTGTCTAAAAAGGTTAAACATTAGTTTTAAAATACTATGTTTCCACACAATTATTTTGTTCATGATTAATTAATTAAAATATTTACCTTTCTCCATCCCTCTATGCTTTTTTCGCCATATCCTAAACTGTTTGATTTTGTGGTGACAGTTTGCCACACAGCTATTCCTTCAGCTCGTCCCTCACTTCCATTAAATTTATTCGTTATTAATTCTGGATATTCTTAGCAAAATGAAAGCAACATTTCCCAATGTTCCATTCGGACCCTCATTTTTATCCAAAAATATAACGAAGATGAAGCTCTTTAAAAATAACTTCAAATAACAAAAACAAACAGCAGCATGCAAATGACCCGCGTAATAAACCGAAAAAGTCAACCCAAACGATTAAAAACCCCAAAAATAGTTCTTTATTTCTCTAAAATGTGTTACAAACAAAGATAATAGACAATAAATGCGATATTTGAGTAAAATCAACAGGTTAATGTTTTTACATTCAATAATAGAGAGATCGGAAAATACCGAAGCGAAACGACATACGCACGGAGTGCCAATACACGTTAGTATCGCCGTTGTAGATAGAAAACGACAATAGAATTCTACGATAGAATTCTATGTGACACGGAGTCCCGGTGCTGGACGAAAATTTGCAACAAAATAATTTGTAAGTCTGTGCTTTTGCTTGACAATGTTGTAGTGTTTAAGCCGGCCACTCACGATACAGCGGTGTCGTTCGACAAAATCGTCGATGATATCAATTCTGCAGTAACTGCTTTATAGAAACTAGTTTCTCAGTGTTGTAAAATTGATTTTGTTTTAATGCACGGTCACAGACGATCAAATGTTTGTCAATTAGTCGAATTCGAGAAAATTGAACGACGTCGCAGTATCGTGAGTGGCCGGCTTAAGAAAGCATAATAAAAATTAACATACTTCTGTATAAAACTTAAATTTGTATTTTTGTTGTAGTACCAGAAGATGATAGATTGGCTGCTGGCAGAAGAGTAAGAAGTCAGTTAATACGAAATAATTTCAATTAGGATTTAAAATTTGTATTTTGATTTGATTTTTTTTTTGATCAAATAGACACCTGAAGTTAAAAGTGTACCGGATATATTCGTTCCCTTGAATTTTTGACCTAGTATCATTCTTTTATGTTTATTGTTGTGTAAATGAATGTTTTTATGTACAGCAGTTGCTATCAACAAGTCCTCACAGACACTTCGTTTAACGACTAGCAGTGGAGTCATGTGTTGCCATGTAATCAATTCCTTTTGTAACTTAAACATTATAGTTTATAATTTAAAAAAATGTAACTCTAAGTTAATCAAATAACATTTAAAAGGTTTTTACCCACATATTTAGTGGCTTGTACAAACATGTACATCCAGATAGCACGGATGGTGGAATATTAATTTGAAAACATTCTGTGATGTAATTTTTAAAATAAAACTTTTCGTGCATATTCAAAAAAATAAAGAAACAGGTAAAAATTGTGTATTTTATTTATTTATTCAGCAAGTCATAATACTAAAATAAAATAATTGCTACTTATTATATATTTTTTATCTTTTTACATTATTTTACTACCTATATCTAAAATTATATATTGGACACTTCTCACAATCTATCTCAATAAGAATACCTAGTAAAAGTATAAATAAATATACATTTATCTAAAATGTTGTTGTAAAAAGGTGGTCAAAAGAAGTATCACTTTGTGCATCATTATCTGCAACAACTAAGTCCTAACTCTACTTCCCTAATCCTAATTTCCCTATCCCTCAAGTCTAATTCCCTAGATTTATTTTTAGCTTCTAGTAAACTTATATTTAATTCTAGTTCCTTCAATTCAAGCTCTTTTTCTTTATATTTAGTGCCAGCCTCAGTCGTAGCCACGGAATCAATTAATTTATTTATCATATCGGCAGTCTGCTTTTGTCCTTCCATATAAGCTTCTGCCGCTTTCTGTAAATTGGATGACTTTCCTGAAAAAATAAAATACTATGTTGCAACATTTACACAATTTTTTAATTTAAATTACAAACAAAAATCACTTTCTACTGTAATGAAGCGTACCTTTTACAATAGATATTTTTTTTAATTTATGAGAGTAGTTCACAGGTTGACCCAATATTGCGGAGGTTCTTCATTGTCAAGGTTTCCTCTCCCATGGTTTATTGCAGCAACTATCTGCAGCAATTTGTTCCAAATTTTGGGTTTCCTCGCAACTTCAAATACTAGACATTCAGATGGGCTATTATTATCCTCTATCATGTCCAGTGATTGGCTGTTTGGATGCATTTCAATACCTATCTCATTTACATCTGCCCCCGTAACTGTAATATATGATAGGGCAGCCATTAGTTTCTCCTCTACAGGAGTTAATATTTTTGAGTCTACTTCACCCCCACCGCCCGTCTTATTTTTAGCTCTAATAACATCTCGGGCCTTTTTCTTGGTATTACTTTTCCAGTCAATAAAAGTCTAAAAACAATCATACATTTAATAGGTACCTGTATTACCAAATCTTTATATTATAATACTGTATAATAATAAACACAACTAATTACCTTTTTCCATTGTAATTTTAATTTGCTGGGACCACAACCTACAGCATTTAAAGCTAAAGTAAGCTCATTCCATAATTTTTCAACAAGCTTATTGTTAGCTTCTGAAGGCTTGGTTTTTCTGTGAAGCAAAATTTTATTTTTTGTAATAAAATCCACCATATAATTTAGTTGTTCTATAGATATTTTCTTCTTGCTTGGAGTAGCCATTGGGATTTTATAAATAATCTAAAAACTTTAATCAAAACTTCAAATTCAAATTTATCTATCAATCTGTCATTTCCTATAAAATTCGACGTTGCCACTGTTTTTAAACCGAGGAAAATCGAAATCAATGTTTTCGATTTGTGTTTTCTTCTACCCGGGTTATAGAATACCGATCCAAGAAGTGGTCGATGTGAAACATTACGATTCACAAAGATTTCGATTCGACTGGAGCATTTCAATTCGATCTGAGGAACGTTATAAAATAATAAGTCCGAATAAATGGAGTACCTCGGAAATAGACCAATTATGTCAGAGCGATTGATGTTCTGTATGATCAGTCTTTGCCTGGATGCTCCAATAGAGACTTATCTGATTCTTTGTGGCAAATTATAGCCAGCAGATTGAATAAGACAGATAAATATTTTATTTGTATGTATATATATTCCATTTAGAGAATATATTCCAAGTTATAGAAATATGTGATTTATGTCAAATGTATAATTTTTCTTATAGTTCCAATCTGCGTAAAAAAGTGGCAAATGTTAAGAGCTGGGTATAGGAAACGGAGACACGGGGAATATGAAGCCCCTTCAGGAAGTGGTGCAAAGCTGATAAAGAAGTGGGTCTATTTTTACCAACACTTTTCTGAAACGACACATTTAAGATCGGCCTTCCAAATCTAATATACCACTTCCTGAATCTTTCGATTCATTGCCACCATCAGAAAATTCAGGTAGTTCGTTCCAACTAGATGAAGACGGGTTTTTAGAAACAGATGAGGATAAAACTATTACGGTGTATGTGGAAGACACCCAAGAGCAGGAGGATGTTTCATGTACATCAGCTAAAAACAAAAAAAGGAAAGTATCATCAAATGAGGTGGATAAGCTATGTATGGATAAGGTATGTCGGAATACATAGAAATAATGAAACAAAAAGAATTAAATTCAAGAACAAAAAAGAACAGTTCGAGCGAGTTATTTTTATTGAGCTTGGTGGATGATGTGGAGACAATAACACCAGACAATTAAAGGCTCTTTAAACGAAAAACTTTACAGTTAATAGAAGGGTTATTATAAAGTAAATTTTTCATCAGAAAATAAAATTATTAAACAAAATAAAATTTTATATTAATATATCTTTGTATATATCCTTGCATATAAATGTATATCCTTATACAAAGCACATCCTTGCTTTGGCAGTTACCATACCCAGGAACAATTCTAATGACCACTTTCGTATTCATTCAATGCATACTAAACAGAATAGTTGCTGCACAGATTTCTGATCAAGAAACACCTAACAATGGCTTATACGGGCTTTACACCAACAATAAATAAAGAAATTCGTGAAGTCGCTTCAAGGTCAACTTTGATGTGTCTAAAGCACAATTTGACATCCAATTTTGCCGTGAATAACTTCATGAATAACTTCGTGAAGAAATTGACGAAATAGAACATGTTCTATTTTTCGCATTTATTGGACGTGAATTCAGTGTCACCAACCTGTGTGGATTTGGCGGGAAGTAGGGCCTTTACAAAGTAAACGCATTCCGCAAGTTTTTATTGTTTGTTTGTTGTTTGTTGATCTTGCTGCAAGCCACGTGGAGTACCTAGTTTATTTTATAAACATTTTTAATTTAAAAATTAGTTGTGGAGAAGAGGTAAGCTTATTATCGTATATAATTAATAAAACAGAAGATAATATATGTATTTTTTAGGAAAAAAATATGTACTATCCCGCGAGGAATGTCAGTATTTAATTTCATTGTATGAATTACATCCCCAATTGTATGAGATATCCAATAGTGATTATAAAAATAAAAGAAAAAGATTATTTTAATTAAAATCGATCGCAGAAAATTTTAACAATAAATACCCATCGGCCAACGTGGGGGTGGATGATATCCGAAAAAAGATAAACAGTCTGAGGACTCAATA